TCAGAGTCGATGAAGCTGAGGCTGAGTTGAGTTGAGTTGACTGCCCCTCTATGATCTGTTCTATGATGATGCACAGTGTCGCGTTTCAATTTGATCCGCACATGATTTGTTCTTCCTGAATCCAGCCAACCTGTTCGGGTCGTAATTTTGAATCCAGCGCATTGTTTAGTCTCTCCAGGATGATGCGGCATAATATTTTGCTTGCATTGGGTGGACAGCAGCATGATTCCTGGTCAGTTCTTGCAAAGACTTAGGTCGCCCTTGTTTGGGAGTTTGACAAGGTAGCCCTTCTTCTAATCAATTGGCAGGTACCTTTCCTTCCTTCCTTCCTTCCTTCCTTCCAAACCTTCTGCAATACTGATGTGGTGTGGTGTGAGCATGTCGACTGTTATCTCTGTGTCTGTTTTAGTGCATGTGGAGGAATTCCATCTGGTCGTGCTGCTTTCCCGGATTTCAGCCACGTTATGGCATTGAGGAATTCACTTCTGCTTGTGTTCACTTGTAGTTGTGTGACTGGGTTGCTGGTGGTATTTCTGGACGAGTTGTAGGTGGTGTTGGTGGTCGATTCAAGAGTTTATGGAAGTGATCAGTCCGTCTTTTCTTTTGTTCCTCCTCTTTGGTAACTCGCTTTCCTTCACTATCTTTCATTTTTTCGTTTCATCTGACTTGGTCTCTTCCCAGATCGATAGTAACCTGGTTATTTGATATGGTGTTGTCAGGTCTCTCCTAACAGCCGCAGCCTGTTCTGCTTCACTTGCCAATGTGTCGTAGAAGTGTCTTTTGTCTTCCCGTGCACATTCTTCCTCACTTCCTTGTCCAGTGTAGTGTTGCATAGGTTCTACTCAGTTCCTCTTTTCGTTGTTCATCACTGCACCGCACCGCACTGCACTGCACTGCACTGCACTGCACTAGTTCATCTTCTGCTTCACCATCTTCCTCTCGCTTCTCTATCAGTTTCCATGTGTCTGTCGAGATCCATTTCATTCCTTGTCTCGCCTCTTCTTCTTCTTCCTTCCTGACACGGTTATGCAGGTTTTCTTCCACATCTCTTTCAAAGAGTTCCAGTGTTCTTCCAAACAGGCTTTCTCGGGAATCTTGTTTAGTGTCGCCCATTCTGTTCTGATGACTGACTGGCTGGCTGATGCGAAGATGTCGCTTGTAGTTTCGTCCTCCAGTTTCTGTTCTCCGTGTTGAACTTCAACTGTGGTCGTCTATCACCAACTTCTGTGAAGGCTTCCAACTTGATTTTGAAGGTGGGTTGCTTGCACTAGATAGTGAGTGGTGTGAACCTACATCTGCTCCCCATCTTGATCTGATCTTGTGTCCAGTAGTAGGCTGGCTGCGTCTCCACTTTCTTCACATTGAGATGAAGTCGATCTGGTTTTTAGTTTAGTGTGTCCATCTGGTGAAATCGAATCCATGTCACTCGCTTTGTGAATATCCTTGTGTTTGTACACACTGCCTCACCTCCAATCACCAAATCATTAAATGCGCGGGAGTTTGCAAACAGTTCTCCATCCTCGTTCATCATTTCACCGAGTGCTTCTCAACCATGATTGGTTCTCTTCCTGTCTTGTCCGCTCCCAGTTTGGCATTCATGTCACCCCACCCACTAGAATTTTGATGTCGCCAACTGAGATGGAGTCTTTTCCAATAGTGATTACAGTTGTCTGTAGAATTCTTCCTCCTTCTTATCTTCATCTGCACTATTTGTAGGTGCATAGCGTAGCATCATATGATTGTGACTTTCCTTCCTTTTGATTTGAATGTTGCTGTGATGATCCCAATCCTGCAGGAGGAGATTGGTTCGCACTGTATGAGAGTGAGCCTTCGATGCTGTTGAAGGGGACATCATGATAGCCACTGGAGAACTCAGTGTGAGTGTCGTCGTGGTTGTTGTCTGGGTGACAATATGTGGGACGGAGTAGATTATTGACTCTTCTCCAGTTGACAGTTTGGAGAGTTCACTTCCATTCCATCTACTTTTGCAGATTCCTAGCCTAGCACTTCCATGCCATACCTGCTCATCTCCTTGACTATCTGGGAAGCCTTGCTAGGTTGGTGCTGACATGGTGTGGACATTCCATGTCCCCATGTTTACTTTTGCTTTCATCGGGAGAAGACACATCAGCCAATTGGCTTCCTGAATGCTTTCCCCAACCGGCGTCATTTTGTCTCCCCGACTCCAGTGAGGAAAGAGTTTGTGTTTATTTTTTATAATTAGTTTGTGCTTAGAAGTTTCTTTAGCGGTTGGATTGGTTTTACGGGGTAGGGTTGCTAGTCCTATGCCCAACCTTCCCTCTTTATCGGAGCTTAGGACCGGCTAGTAACTAGTGATTTAGTTAACCAGGCGAGGTTGGGTGGTTTGATTGAGTGAGTTTAATGGCCAGCTCAATCAACCATTGAAATAACTAATTAAACCTCTCTATTTTCTGAAAATCTGCCTTTCCAGCTGAAATGGAGAAGACTAGTTGATCATTTCGACTGTTAGTGGGGTGGTTTTCAAAGCTGTCCGTTTGATTTATTGTTGTGGTTATACCTAGCAGTACTTCTCTGAATCGATTCTCTCGGAACGCAAGTGGTAAGTCTTTAGTATATCCGCATAGTTTCACATACTTAATCCACTCACACAATGAGTCATGCAGTTCCATCCGCCTCGGCAATCTTGTATAACAGAACACAGTTTAATGATTATTGTCCCTTTCTATTATAGACGGTCTGATTCATCTGCACATATCCAAATAAACTACCTGACCACAACGCATTAGAATTTACGAAGCTGAGACAACCGGTTTCATGCAAATAAAATTGGATAATATAAATGTAATAATTGATTTCATTGAACAGGTAATTATTTCAGAAATATAAGCCCTATATAAACAAAGAATAGAGGTCATTCGATTCCTACACAGTGCCTCGGTGGTAATGAGCTCACCACGGAACCTGAAGGTCCTGAGTTTAGTACCCAGGCAGGGTCATTAGTGCACCCTCATGAAGGGTTCCGTACTAGGACGAAACAGCTGTCCAGTGCTCCCAAGTTTCCAATGTTTCTCTAACTGATATTGGTCCATGGTGAATCCCACATTGAAGTAATATTCAGCATACTTCAGTGTTAAAGTCATTCAGCTTAATGCACATGTAATCACTTCAGAGGACATTATCTGACTTCAGTTCTTACGAAATGATGGATTGTTGTGTCACAATTTATTTTAAATTGTACTAAATCTTCAATAATCATTTGATAATTAAAAATGGACAACTAATTTGGTAACATTGAAAGGTAGTCCGATTTTTAGGACAAAAAGTTGGAATGTTGTTCTAACTAAAATGTTGTTCGTGTGGTTTCACCAAAAACAAGGCGGATAGTGCTGTAGGTTTTCTAACAACGGTTCTCGTCTCCCGATGCCGAACCTCAGACTAAATGCAGTGGCTTATAGTGTTCGCAATCTTCATGGAGTTGGAAAACAGGATAGGCTAGAGAAAACTGTAGTATCTTAGGTGATGGAGTTATTCCGTGTTTGCGAGACATACATATAGGAACCAAATATGATTATTCGCTACAGCATACCAGGCCAATTTAGTGATGCAAGGTTAGGCTGCCAGGAGGCTGCATCAAAATTAGTTAAAAACTCTCTGAATGCAAATTTCAGTATTGTAGAGAAATGCAGACTTATAGGTGGGGTTCCACATCACAACTGGAGTTGATGGTAACAGACTGTACGTCATATGGTTTAGAATCGCTTAATACACTGTATGCGTCTTAATCCTACCATTATGAATAATTAGCTTTCTTAGTACAAAAATAATCATAATATAAATAATCCGCATCCCGGTGTGAAAAACATCACTCAATGGAAAGCAGGTATATCCAGCTGACGAGTCATAAATAGGACGAAATGTGCATCCTGGATTCCACTGCTAGCCACTATCCATGCTTACAATAATAAAAAAGCCTTCGTTCATAAAGCTGCTTCGAGAATACTCTACAGAGTTTTCAGCACGTCATATAAAATCGACTGGACAGAGACAGTGTACATTTATACATCGCAAAATGAAATAAGAATAAATTTCATAAAAAAAGATAAGAATATTTACCCTACCTACAACATTCTTGAAAATACGGAGTTAACTTAGGTACACAGTCACATTAGCAATTAGGTTTATAATATGTAAATAGTAACATGCTCATCATCAATTAGTCTGTTTTCAAAAACAGAAGTTGATTAGTTAGTTAGTTAGTTAGTTCATTTCTAATGTTTTCGTCATCACACAGTAGACTAGTCAAATAAGGAAGGTATAGTAGAGTTTTCATATTTAATAGTACTGCTGTAGACAAACATCTTAACTCATGTAAACATCTGGCAGGAGTTGTTTTATCAGAAGTTCGACATGCTGTTCACTTAAAGCTCTCTGTGTGTTGTCAGTCATCTGGAAAGACAAGGAGTAAGTATATAAGACTTTATTCACGTACTATTAAATATGAAAACTCTACTATACCTTCCTTATTTGACTAGTCTACTGTGTGATGACGAAAACATTAGAAATGAACTAACTAACTAACTAACTAATCAACTTCTGTTTTTGAAAACAGACTAATTGATGATGAGCATGTTACTATTTACATATTATAAACCTAATTGCCAATGCGATTGAATACCTAAATTAACTGTACACTTTCAAGAATGTTGTAGATAGAGTGAATATTCTTATCTTTTTTTATGAAATTTATTCTTATTTCATTTTGCGATGTATAAATGTACACTGTCTCTGTCCAGTTGATTTTATATGACGTGCTGAAAATTCTGTAGAATATTCTCGAAGTAGCTTTAAGAATAATGCCTTTATTAATTATTATTGCTAGCCTAGTAATTATTTGATGAATCTCAGTAATGCTGATTGGCTACTTGTTATAGGTCAATAATGAACTGCCCAATCAAAATAAAACGTTCTTTTAACTCTGTCGAATGAAATTTGCGCGTCATTGCCTATGCTTATTTCACTTTTTAAGCACTTTTGTAACATCGCTAGTAACTTTCAATTGTTCTTCCTACTGGTGCAGAATGTTTAACATGAGCGTATCAGAATGGCTGACTAAAACGTTACTGCTACCGAAACCAGATCCTCGAACAGATGCCTATCCTTTAATGAGCTCCTGGACACCTACTGTTTTAATCTCACTCACCTACGTTATTGGAGTATACGCCTGGAGAACGGAATGCTTGAAAAAACAAGGAAAACAGCCTAAAAATAAAGAAGAGTTTCAGCGAAATAATGATCAATCATCATCATGGGATTTTCTCAAGTGTTTAATGGTCTTATATAACGTATCGATGGTTATCTACTCCTGTGTAATCACCTTTGGTACTTTATGGGCTGTCTGGTGTCTGGGCTATGGATTAGGTTGTGAAGAACAACCTGATCCTACTCATGAGAAGTTCAATAGCCTTTTATTCCTTGCATATCTTTTCTATTTCTCAAAATTTGTGGAAATGTTGGATACCGTTTTTTTCTTATGGCGAGGTAAAGTGGATCAAGTCACATTTCTACACGTCTTTCATCATGCTAGTATGCCGCCATCAATTTGGTGGGGAGTAAAATATGCACCAGGTGAGTTAACCGTCGATTGCACTTCTCGATAGTTTTGAGTCTAGGTGACTGTATATCGATGAAGGGTCTTCTTAATATGCTTACCTTTGAGGAAAATTTAAAACATACTTTTTCCATCAATGCCTCGATAAGTAACTGACAGATTTTGGCAGTTACGCGATTTAATACTTGCCACTGGCCAAGTAAAATTCCTTATCTAACTATGTTTATTTATCCATATCTGTTGTAAATTAATTAATTAGGCGCTATTCATTCCAGAGAACGACTTGGCAGTAATAGATATCCCGTAAATTTTCGTATAAATTCTTCGACAAGTGTATGTGTGATCAGATTGTTGGAAATGTATACCGCTTATACATCTTGTTTCCTACTGAACTAATTCTCCCTTTCCGTAAATTTTCTTATGAATATTTAGTGGTTTGGTTACTTCCTTTATTGAAAATTCGGATGAACAGCCGTTCGTATGTTATTTCATTAATATTTCTAGTCTTCCATTGTTATGCTGAGTCGACTTCAACAACCTCCGCTGGCGTGTGTTAGTTGGATAGAGGCAACCGGTAGGAAGCGCTGACGTATGTGCAACCTCTACGAAACTGATGTCCCGTCTGTTGGCATGTAGGCTCCTGTGTGGCTGCCTTTATGTTGCCTAAAGATTCACCGTTTTATAATCTGATGGGTTTGAAGTTCAGTGGGAACATCAGTCACTAGGATACAAGTGCAACCAGGTGACGAGTCACAGATTGATTGAGACGCTCCCCCTAGATTCCATTGCCACCTCCGCTCTACTCCTTGACAGTGCCTTCGGGTTCTGTAAGACCACCAGCATGGTGGCGGCCTGGAAGTTCTTCAGAAAAAAACTTGTTCCCGAGCGTTCAAGGCTACAGCACCATCTTGTCTGCAACCAACAACATTTGTCGAAACAACATAACTGCGAACTATCAACACAATGTGTTCACAAATAACACTAAGTTTTGATAAAATATGAAAACGTTGCACTAAAAGCAGTTCATAAAACAAATAGTCTCTCGATTTCGCTTAGAAGACCAGTTGATCTTCAGCTTCAGTAGCTTGTTCGTTACCCTTCTGTATTTATTTTCTACATTTCTCGTTTCTTTCTCCGGAACCTCCAGCAATTGAATTTCACCTCTAATTACTTATCCCTGCTACTCATTTGTTCTCCTAAGTAGCACACAACCAGAGTGAAATTCAATTTGTATTTATATAGTGAGATGCTGGACAGTTTTTGATGAAATCGAAGCCAGATACTTCACCCTCACTGTATTCCATTCTGGAACAAATCACTATCACTGAAGCTTAGTTGTGTATTAAAAAAATAAGTAACAGTCACTTAGCTAAAAACCCATAAGCAAAATAATTCTTTTGATTGCGGACTAGTTGAACCGAGAATCAGGTAATGTTGAACATAACCTGTGTGGGCAGGCTAAAGATTCTGAGTTTGATACTACCATAGGTCATGAGTGCGTACTGATGAGGAAAGGAAATTTCTGTCTACCATTTCGAAAGACACTATAATACTGAGTTATGATGAGAATTGTCTTTCTATTGATTAAGGAACCCTGAATTATCTATTCAGAGCTGAAACTATAATTAATTCTTTGAGTTATTACCTTCAAAACACGCTTGTTGTTGGATATGAGATTCACTAGCTTAAGTGTTTGAATTTCAAACAATTAGTCCCAGGCTTAAATCACTGTCCAACTACTTCGGCATTATTGACTGGACTGAGTCAGAAGCCCTGACAGAATAAGTGTGGCGCATAGCCTAGTACATTAACCCACGGAAAGACTCAGTTACATCCCGAAACTTTTTCTGTCAACAATGAAAATCATTGCAAAGCATCAACCAGTATTTAGTGGCATCTTTGTGCACTATTGGATCAGTCACAGTCATCAAAAAAGGACTCTGAGGAGAATTTTGAATACTTGTCTTCATTTATTTATTCATTTTGAACAGAGTATCTCACATCTGTACACGTGAGAAGATTAATTTTAATGTAGTGGAATTCAACCTTACTGCATGTTTATTTACTAGGCTAGGAGACACATGGTATAAGTGCTGATGGCAATAATCGGTTTCGCGGCAAAATTAGGGGGAGCAGAGATCGAACCCAGAAACTACAAATTGTAAAGAGATTCCTTACCGCTTGTGTGCAATATATAAACTGTATACAGACTTTTGCAACAGATACATGATAAATTTATTATGTGAGAGCTTCAGAAACAGCAGATAGTTTCGATAGCCCCTGCGAAAATAAAGATTATGCTCAAATGGTGCGTAATTGTTGCCTGACTTTTGAGCAATTTAGAATTATCATTTGACTATCTGAGATAGCCGTAGTTTGGCAGACTAATATTCATACTATGTGATGATTGAAGGTGAAATGAAAGTTTGAACCGCAGTCAGATTCAAACCAGCGACCACCAGGTTTCCAGCCCGGTGCTCCACCAACTGAGCTACGAGATTCTACAGATGACCAGATTTTTATTTCACTAATACTAGTCTACCAAACTACGGCTATCTCATTCAAATGATAATCAATATGATGCTCGCCCTCTCTAATTCAGTTAGATTTGGACTGGGATGAGAATTCCTCACTAGGCAGCCAGTGTGAATACCGTCAAGCGGTAGTAACGCTTTACGAATTCACATGGTATTCGGTGAAAACCCTTGGTGATTGAAGTGAAATAAAAATCTGGTCAGCAGTGACTTGCAAATTCTTTTGGTCAGGTTTGACTTCTGAAATAGCCGGTTAACGTTACAAAACATGTTTTAAGTGTATCACATTTCCACAATATTGAATAATAATAGATTTTATATTGCTAGTCATTGCAGTTTCTGGGCTGCAGCTTTGAACACAGTTCAGCTACACTTTTGTTTTGACATTCGGTACCAATATCTGATACGCGTTTGTTGTATTGCATTTTGTCACAGTGGACAGAAATAAAAGCTTACATCCACTGAAGAGGATTTATTCACCATTTTTAATAGCCATCAAATTATTCTCTAATTTATGTCGTAGAGTCTTCCGCTTCATCTTCATTACATCTGTGACTCGGGACATTTTTTTAGAGGTATTAGAGGCCCCCTTCGTTGAAGTTAATGATTCTGAGATAGTAGAGAGGATTTTTAGCTCAAAATGGCTAGGATGATAATTGTTTGGTGTTTTCTGAGCTTTGAGGTGTCTTTTTGAATGTCCTATCACCAGGCTAAGTGACCTCACCATCATTTACTTCATCAAGATTGATTCTCTATCCACTTTTATATTTTCGTTAGTTTTTCTCAGCTGTTGTTAAGTTTCCCTGATAAGTGCAAGTCTGGTGTGTGATAAATAAGACATGCAGCTCCTGGAGTGAGTGCCCCGCTTGCAGTTTGCCTCAAGGGAGGGTTGTTTTAGGTAGAACCTTCAGTTATCACCTCTGGTTCGAGTTCACATTGGGTGGAAATAGTGGTTTTCTTACTAGCGTTTATGCGTATGAATTTCATCCATATGATCGGTCGGTTGAATGTTCTACCCTGGTTGGTTGACTCTCTTGTTTAAATATTGAATTCTGAACAGTTGCTATCTGAATGCTTTAACTGTTTATTTAAATCAATTCTTGTAATCTGCTTCATCTCAGTTGATTATGTGTAATGGGTTTCACTGCTACGAGCAAAAATTATTCCACATGAACATTTGATATGATCGTGTTTGCTGGAATTTGACTTCAAATACATGAATTTGGTGGATCATAGTATAATAAGGGTGATGATAACGATGACAAAATCTTGCAAGAGTTTATTATGCCTTGGTAGTCAATCATTCTTGGCATTCCGCCTGCTTTATGAGTCCTACTGAACTGTGGAAGAATTTGATCCTCAGTTTTACTTTCCATTTGATTGTTCCTTTTATCGCAACTATCTGTTTCAGTTTGATCTTTGTTCTTAGTCAGTCTGACAGTCACTGAACAACTTTATATGATGTCCCAGCCAGTTAAACTGCCAGTCAACTGGCGAACAGATGTGGACACTATATAAATTGGTCAAGATAATGCTCATGGACAGTGGTTTCAAGGGAGGAAAACAGATATCAGTCATGGTCGAAAAGAAAGGAAACTAGCCCAATCACTGAAACACATGGATTGAAGTTTTCTTTGTTCACCATAAATCGAGTGAAGTCAAATCTATGGTAAAAAGAAGCTCATTTGGAGAACACTTGTACCTCAGCAACTATACTTCCGAACAAATGCAATTTTCAAGTCAACTCCTTCGCACAAGTCGTTATTTCTCCGTTTCACCTTAAGTTTAGCGGTTTTGCTTACTTTCAAAATCCTGAGACAGTAATCGAAACCGCCGTGAGAAATCTTAAAGATGTAAAATAGTAAATCTAGGACCTTCTATGCATGAAACTTACCGTGAGTGGTGCGTAACTTTCATTTGTCGTTCATTGTTAAATATGAATGCGATACACTCGTAATCATATTAAATGACAAATGCCACCGTAGGTTATTGGAGAACACGAAAAGTGATCTTCCCGAAATCAATACGAGACTATTCAGTGTCTATTCGACTGAAAGTGATAAATCCAGTTACGAATTCGATGACAGTTAAATATATGACAGCTGAGTGGGTGAACATTGGAAAAGTAAGAAAATAGCTCAACAGAGGACCTGGTACACAAATGTATCGGTCCAAGTTGCTATCATTCACAACAGCATGCAAATAAGAAATTGACCGAAAAAAGAATGGGACTGTAGTTGATGACAAAAGAGGGAATAGATACATTGAAGGTAAGTGGAAATCTCCATGACTTCAGAGGGAACAAACAGTGCACACATCTGTCCCATATTGTGACTGATTAGGAGCCACATTACAATGAGTCTACAAACACTTATTCCAGTCGTCTCAGGGATCCCAGCCTACTGACAGTCTATTTCACCCTACATGACATTGATCGACAGTCAAATATTTCATAAACTATTATCGCTTATTGGTGTGAACTC